ATTGTTTACATTGAGAGGATCATGCAGATGATTTGGGGGGTGGGGGGGTTGAGGGTTGTTGGGGTTTTTTTTTAATTGCTGAAGCATTCAGTGTGCAATTGCTGAAGACATTCCAAATGAATCTAATGAAGTGTAGTGTCTGCCAGTCTGTATGCTCTTCTGAGAGGACCATCTGTTGCACCTCAAATATCAAAAGGTCTGCCATCATTTATTGCACCAAACAAATCAGTGTCTTTGTCTGACGTATAGTAACTTGTGAACATGAACTAGAAAGTAGTTTCAGTTACCAAACAAAACTTAGGTATTCTTCTATTGTTGCCACATAAATAAAAGTTTAGCGATGACACATCTCAGTTTTCTGAAGACAGCTACTGATTAGACTGATTTTTTTTTTTTTAATTTTTAACATTCATGCTAATCAATTTGGCAACATGGATTAAAAATCCTGAATGCATTTTCTCATCCTTCAGTCATAACTATGTTGAAGGCCTCTTTTTGTTTGGTAAGCAAAAGCAAGACCTTTCTTTGTAATATTTTCTTTGTAATATTTTCGAGGCTAGGTTTGATATATAAAGGTCATTTTGAACAAAAAATACTTTACTTTGATTCCCTTTAATAAGGTTTTTTGTTTTGTTTTGTTTTTTTTTGTTTTTTGATGTTTTTTTTTAAAGCAAAAACACAATCTGAAGAAACTTGCTGTGTCACTTTAAAGCAAATAGGTTTTGGGTTAGATTGGCTCTTGAGGCTACTACTGATGAGCATTCAGGACTTTACAATATCAGGATAAAGGACACAGTTCTGCAGTCTTTACTTGCATAAGTCATAGGGACTTTTTATCTGAGTAAAAGATAAAGGGTATGACCTATCATGGTGAATTTTTTGGCTAATTGCAAAGCACACAACTCCTTCAACCCTGGTGTAGATTTAAAGTGCATACCCACCTCTTCATCTGAGATAAGGGAAGAGAAAGTCACCACTTTATTATAAGGATCAATGTGCTTTTTCAGGCAATCTGGAAATGTTCCATTACAAGACTTGCAGAAAGCCCTTTTAAGACTTCCATTTAAATAAAGCACGGTCTTTCATGATTGTTCTTCCCTCCCATTAGCTGACAGGGGCTAAACTAATGCAAAGACTTAATAGCATGCATAGCTGTACATATAAAGCAGGGGAAGGAAATGTTTTTGGGTCAAAAAAACCGCAACATCTACCTTGTAAGGTGCCGTAGTGCCAGCATGCCAAAAAACAAAACCGGGGCAGGGGGTACATGACTGGACACACTGCATATTAATATAGTTAATAATAGTAAACATTGCTCTTTTTTTTTTTTACAGTAAATACCAGGTTTTCTAAAAGTTCTAAACCTGGTGACACTAAATAAAACTTCATATACTGCCTTTGTTCTTGTGTATTCTTTTTTGTTAAGCATGTTGTGATGAGAGAGGGGAAAAAAAAGAGAAAGGAAAAAAGAAAAGAGAAAAAGGAGAGGAGAGAGAAAGAGGTAAAGAAAGGAAAAAGGGAAGAGAAAAAAATAAATAGAAAAAAGCAAAGAAACAAGAGGGGAGAGAAAGGGAGAGAGAGAAAAAAAAGGAGAGAAGAAAAAGGGGAGAGAAAAGTGGAGACGAGAAAAGAAAATAGAAAAAAAGAGCAAAAAAGAGAAAGGGA